ACAGGGAATATGGCTTTAGTCTAAAAAGAGGAGATCCCAGACAAGTGTGGAGGAAAATTGGGTCTGAGGTTTCTTCTATTTGGAATTTGAGAATATTTATGGTATCTGATTAAAGTATGGCTGCAAGTCATTCTCTAGTTTCCATATTCAATATTCTAGGATGTAGAGTACAAAAGGTCTTTTTCTTTGGAAACGCTCAGGTTTTAGCATTTCGCTGCAAAGTACCTGTTCAGAATTTCATGACTCTTCAGGTTCTGCTTATCATGAACTGGGGGGTGCGGGTGGGGGGGCGGTGACAGGAGAATTTCCTTGTCAGTCTCCAAATTTTCTGTCTCCCAGCAACCCACTGCTTGCTATTCCCCTTTATTTCCCCGTCTGTTGGTCCTTGGTTTCCATTTAGACTATAAACTCTTTAGTGTAGGGACCATCCTTTTTGTTTATGCGACCCCTTGCACAAGGAGGCCTGGTGCCAGGGCACTACCACAGAACCAGTAATAAATGTTTGCTGGTAAATTTAGTAACCTTTTGTACATTGTGGGTGCATCTACACAAGATGCAATGGCACAGCAGCAACAAGCTAATGTACCGTAGCTTGTTGCTCCCCTGCAGTAACGTCGCTGGGCAGTAACCATGCGGTGCCGATACTGCGTAGTAGTAATGAGCTACTGTACAGTAGCATCGGGAAAAAACCATGTGGTGATGGTACTGTGCAGTAACGCCAGATACTGCGCAGTAATTTAGTACTTGCTTACTCGCGTACTAAATGACAGTACAGTAACAACTGTGCAGTCTGCTGCTCGTGTAGACACGGCCAGTAGGTGCTACAAATGAGGTATTAGTGAACAACGAGTCATTTAAGGATGTGTTTATGTATCCATGTTGTGCCTTTTTGTTTGTTAGTTTTGGTGGTTTTTGAATGTGTGATGTGTTTAGTTCTGTGGTAACAAGAGAAAAAAATTACAGTTATTTTGGGTTCCAAAGTGTAGCTGAAGGATTCATCTATAGCTGCACGTTTTCTGGTTTTGTTTGCTTGGCTTTTTTCCCCTCAAATCTATAGTGGTGCACATATCTGTAAATTCTGAATCCTTTCCTTTTGTTCAATTCAATGAAATAAAAAAAAAAGCTATCTAAATAAAACATGCTCCTGCTGAGACCTGTTTGATGTCTCTCAAATTTGTGTACTGTAAATACTAGTTTATTTTTGCTTCCATTTTACTCAAAGTTCAATGTTATGCTAAAATGTGCTGCTGTCAACAGCTTGCTCATTGGAGCTGCTTATTAGTGGCATAAACTCTGGTTAGAGTCTAATAGTGTATTCAAAACAGTGATGTGATGCATATCAGGTAGAGTTGGGATTAAGCTAATAGTACTTTGCTAGGCATAGGTAGATGTCCAGCTTGATCTGCCTGGAGTTGGTTGCCCTGCTCTTGGATAAGCTTCCACAGGACACCGAAGGATTTTCAGTGGCAAATAAGGCCCAGGTATGCAGCTGTCTGAAATAATTCATTTCTCTAAAGAAAGAGAAAGAGAAGTTAGTTTAAACTACATTTAAAATCATAGAAAATGAGAGTGTGAAGGGAGCTCAGGAGGTCACATCTAGTCCAACCCCCCGCTCAAAGCAGGGCCAGACCCAACTACATCATCCCAGCCAAGGCTTTTTCGAGCTGGATTTTGAAAACCTCCAAGGATGGACCTTCCACCACCTCTCTGGGTAACCTGTTTCAGTGCTTTACTATTCTAGTGAGGAGATTCTTCCTAATATCTAACCTCAACTTCCCTTGCTGCAACTTGAGACTGTTGCTCCTTGTTCTGTCATCTGCCCCCACTGAGAACAGTCCAGCTCCATCCTCTTTGCAACCCCCTGCAGGGTTGAAGGCTGCTATTAAATCCTGCCTCAGTCTTCTCTTCTCTAGACTAAAAGGTGAAGGTGGACACTTGGTTTTTCCCTCTCCCAGGACTCTGGCAGTTCTGTGGCTACACATGAGGAGATCAGGACAGAACCTCCCACTTCTTACCTACTTCTGAACTTGCTTTAACAGCATGCAGTTCCAGTGATGCAATGTCACCATAGAGGTGCCAGTGGTTCCATGAATGCATGAAAAATGCTAACAATTGCTGGTGTTCAAAACACCATATTATTTGCCCCTGTTTCATCCAATTTTAAATCATATAATCCCAGACATAGTGGAACTCGGTATTGTTCAGTAAGGAGTGGCTGCATTTCAGCTGCAGAGAAAGGTAATTAGAAAACACTTGAGTGCTCAGAAACAAGATGATACTCCTCATCTTCCTCCTAGGAAAATAAAAGAGAATTATGTTGAATGTGTCCAGGACAAACTACCCAGCTATTTGAATTTACCTCCAAAATACCGCTTTTCACATCCTCTAACCAATCTGTCTACCTCTATGGCCCCATCCCTTTCATATCTGCTCCTAAGGTAGCATTTCTTACTTGTCTCCTAAAATTTCATCGCATGGAACAGCACAGCTGAGACGCTACTAGCGAAACTGGTCCATTCCTCCCCCTGGAGCTTTCACTTAGGAAAAGCCATGACCTGGCTCAGAAATCCATCCAATGTAAGGTGAGAGGTATGCTTTCTCTCAGTTATATATCAGTCCCAAAGGTTGTTTTGGACACAAATGAATGTGGGTGTTTCAAGAGGAGGGTGTTTCATTCCAGCACTGCACCCTCTAGGTGAGAAATTAGCTAGTTTGGCTGACATGGGCTTTTGCCTGCGTAGCCAGAGAAATAGGTTGTGTATGAGTGTAATATAATTTCTATTTTTAGGGGAACCAGTTCCCATTGTTGTGGGTTAGGATTTATTGTCTCTTCTCCCAGAGCTAAGTGATTTCTCTTGCAGCTCCCTGAGAGTCCAAGCTGCAGGAGCACCCTACATCTCAGGATTTTCAGTCCCACAAAGACCTGAGTATTTATGATCCAGACTATGCAGCATCCTCATGAATGTTACCCCACTGGCTGTTCCCTATTGCACAGCCCATCCAACAACGGAGAGCAATGGACTCTGAGCCTCTCGTTTTCCCCTTAGCCTGCCAAGATGTAGGACTGTAGCAGACTAGGCAAACAAGTCCAGGGAGTTTCCTTTGTGTTGGCAAAAGCTTCACCCTTTGGCACTTTTAGCTATATATTATCTTTTAGAGAAGGCATATGTGCTGCTGGCTAATGGACAAATCTGGAGCCAAGACTCCTGTGGGATAAGTATACTGACCATGGATTTAGCTGACTGATTTTGGAAAGATGCTTAATTTCACTATACTTCAGCCTCTCCACATTTTACGGTTGACCTACCTCACTCTGGGTGTGTGTATGATGGCAGCAGGAGCATATGAGAATAGATCCATGTATTCAGTGCACCTTGAGATCCCCGAGTGTCAAGTATTTCATAATAAGTGCAGACTTTTCATTTCATAAGTGCAGACTATGATACAATCTTCTTAATTTTGCATACTAAACAACTGTACCCCTTTTCCCCCCCAGCAAAGTCCTAATAACCACAAATAGCAGTATAGTGTCTTTTCTGTGTTCCTAATATATTATTACTCATGTAAAATCTCTAAGGGGCATCATACCATTTTGAAGTCATCTTCGCCTTCCTCTACTCCCCCACCCCCCAGCTTAATTTTTCCATAGTATTTGCTAAATGATAAGCAAACAAAATTAAATCATAGGCAATGAGTCATTTGATAATTAGCAGATTTAGGCAAAGCTATCTTAAAAGATCTTGTGTTGTGACATACCCCCTTTTGTCCTCCTTACAATCTCTCAGCCTCATTTTAAAAGTTGAAGGGCCTTATGCTAGACCTCCTGCATATTGTTAGCATAACGTGTTACCTGGTCAGGCAAAGCTTGAACCTAAACCATTACTTTGCCTCTTACTGGTACACGCTATGCCCAATACCACGTATATGGGCGCATTATGGATACTCAACGGGCATTGTTCTGGAAGAAAGAGGGCAGTGATGTTCTACCAACTGCTTCGGCAGTATTCAAATGCCTTTTCTGGCATGTGGAGAACCCCTCTATTAAGGGGTTTCTAAATCAGCGTATCTTTGGCCCTAATGCCTGACTTGGTATTCAGAGAAGGCTAGCCCTGCCTGTTAGCAGTGGTGGACAAAATCAGGCAGCTGCAGCTGCTGATGTATGCCTGTTACAAAAAACAACTTAATCCCAAATCTGTATTGAAATTCTCCACCATGCTCTAGGTTTATCAACGTGTGCTGTTGCCCACCCCCAGGCTGCAGCATTCTCTAGAAGGCAAAGCAATGTTGTTTTGCTCAGCTGCAATTTTTTTCTTCAGTGGGCAGGAAGGCACATTATTTCTTTCACTGTAAGAAAATGGATGCTGACTCTGATGAGAAGTATCAGTGCCTTGTTCTGTGTTTATCTTTCACTCCCATCTCAGGCTGGATAAAAAGATTTAAGGAAAGGCAAAATTAAATTCAAGGCATGCTGCTCATCACAAAACAGCAGCAACTTCTTCCCCTGCAGGGCTGACAAAACCCTCCATGTTCAAGGGGTAATAAAGATGCCTCTAAACCTGAACCCTGCTGCAGCTTCTCTATTCCATGGCTAGCTAATAATATGTAAGGTAAGGTGCAGAGGCACAAGAGTGCCATGTTCTTTGTAAGGCATCTTGTGTCCTGCAAACAGCACCATTTAGTGCAGTCCTTATTAGGACTATCCTTGTAGCCTAATTCTCTGCTTTTGGTCGTCATGCGTAGAAGGTAGGGACTACATGGGAAAGATTGCATAGTTCCTTCCCGTGTTCCTATTCTCGAAGCATTTCTTCTTTCTGCCTCTTTTGGTTCTTGCCTGTGTAGTCCTCTCCATAGCTGTTTCACTGCAGAGCACCAGCTGTGTAGAGAGACTGCAGATTCATTTCTGTGATCCGTTCATGCAAGACACCTGATGCCAGGTGTCCAGTTACAAAGCTGATGGCAACGCTGTTCCCTTTCTAAGTGTAACCCAGAAGCCTGAGGGCCTTGTGCTGTTCCCTGTTGCGGAATTCTGCAGCGCACCAGCTCCTAGCTTGGGCCTTGAGCTACATTATTCACTTTTCACCCAATAGTTCCAGGTAAGCTCTTGCACCAGCAATTCTTTGATCTGATCAATGGTGACTATAGTGATCAAACAGCGGCATTAAACCAGAGCTTTATCTTAATGGTGGGAACAAACCTTTAGAGGAAAAGGATATGCAGATAGGCATGATAGTTTTTTAAATAGTCTATCACAAGCGTGCCACTCCCTGACAATGAACCAAACAGGCCCAACTTTTTCAGACGCTTGCATGAAGATTCTGTATCTCAATCTGCTTTGCCTGAACAAAACAGATTGTTTCTGGAGAGAAAGAGTCAGTTCCACTTTTCATTGCCAGGTTCTCTATTTTAGCATTCCCAGACCTCTAGCTGTACATTCTTTGTGCCCAAAACAATTTAAACTTGAGCCATCCTTCACCCCCCCGCCCTCCCGCTCCCTTTCCCAAAGGCCATTTCTGAAGTCATTGTATTCATATTGTAAGCATCCCAATGACAAGGGCAGTATTCTTAAATGATTGCAGAGCAGATCCAAAGGGAACAGTCCAGCGTCTCTAGAGTTCGGAGACACTGGCCCTCGTGTCATGAGAGTGCTGAGAAGCGACATACATGGAATGCAATGCTGTTTCTTCTTGTGATAAAGCTTCCTGGAGATTTGGGTAACAGCATAGTCCTGCACATGATGCTGTTGTAAATCTAGAGTTGCTCTTGCTTTTCCGTGCATCTTGAAACACTGGGATTCCAGCAGAAGCATGGCTGGAACTAATATCCCAGTTTTTCCTTTCTTTGTAATGCTTCCCTCCACTTTATAAATGTTTCTTTCATTGCATTAGCAGTGCATCTACTGGGTTGTGGGTGTCTCGTCAGTAGGACTAAGTGCTGTGGAAGATACAGTATGTAATTAATGCCAGAGCAATTTCCATTGGCACTATCACTCTCCATAGGACCTGACAAACTGAATGATGATACCTTGGGTAACAAATACAAATGCCACAGGAAATTAATATGCTACCTGCTGAATGCCAGTAAAAATAACTCATCTTGCTGGCAAAAATCAGTGAGAAAGGACCTGGACTAGCTTTCAAGTTTGGGAGTCTAGGGTCTGTTATTTGGGCCTTTTGTGCTAGGTGGAACTTGGAGGATGGCATCGAGATGTTATCGTTCCCCCTTTCACTACAGTGTAAACAGATAATCGGTTATTCCCAAAGCTGGGTTTCTGTAAAAATGTGTCTGCTGCACACAGGTTTTTCACAAGAATTCATGTTTATGGCCATACATATAATGGGACCCCCTTATAAGCACTCGGTCCTATGCATAGCACAAATGCAGGCTAGCAGATGCCCCGAAGAGCTTGCAATGTGAATACCCATGGAAGGCAAAGAGGCAAGGGCAGGGATCTAATGCACCAGCAGAGTTAATGTGGTTTGCTGACATCATATTGTTCATTTTGTTATCTCTCCCTGCCCCAAGAGGGATTTCCACTGTTAATTTGTGGTGAATCAGGCGCGTAGTTGTGCAAAAAAAGCTCTCTCCTGAGATACTAGGTTCTATGCATGCTTACATGCCAGTGGGTCTGGCAACTATTAGCCTGAATGATGAGTGCCAGGCTTCACGTTCAGCTGAATCCCTCCTGAAATCTTGCTTTCCCTTTGGTCCCTGTCCTATCGCCGTAAGCTCTTTCACCTTTAAACAACGGGAGCAGGTCAAGGTCCAAATCTTTGGAAAACCTGAAGTCACTGTGTGTACCCTTTGGAGATAGCCCAGGAGATGAAAACTAGAAGCCTGCAGGTGAAATGTCAGGGCTGCATGTGGATGCAGTAAGTCAGGGAATCTCCCAGCATGAATAAGCCTGTGATTCAGCACCAGAAGCAAAGGAAGCACATTTTGAAAAATAAACTGAACCTGATTTGCTAGCAGCTCTGTTACAAAAAGAGATAAAAACGCTCAGTTATTCTAAACACCGTGTTACAGAAGACTGACATGGAATCCCAGGCTTTTCCTACAGAGAATGATCTGCTGGGCTTTGTTCCGAATGTGTTTCTAGCTTCCTGGAATCATAATACCTGTGATTAGCTCTGCTTTTATTCTCTGTCCTGCAGAAGCTCACAATTTTGCTTGCAGCTGTTTATCCAGCAAGTTGAAAAGGGAAAAAAAAAATGTTTCTGGTGAAATATGCTCCCTTGTCTGTTTAAAAAATAAGACCTTTCTGACCTGCAGTGTATAATATGTAGGGGGCATCATTAAGTAGCTGGCATTTACTGCTGTGGTAGAAGAAACGGAGCTGAGGAACCACACTTAATTCAAAACAAGGATTAAGCTTGCAGTGGCAGACTTTGTACCTGGTTAAATGTTTGTGCTCTGTGTCTTTTGTTCAATTGTCCCCTTGCATTATGGCCATCCCTTTCATAGGTCCATTGTTAACAGCTTAACTGCGGTGAACAGAGTCTTTAGCTTTCTGTGGCCTGCTTCATTTTTTATCCAAGTTTAACAAAATATATGAGTTTAAGCAACAGAATTATTGAATGTCTGTAGAAAGGTATAAAAATGCTTTACGTGAGACTAGTATTAAGAGAATCATTGAAAGACTTGGCTAAAGTGTACCAAAGCATAGGAATGACATACTATTATAATGAAAAATATGAACCGATATAAAACTAATTGCTGTTGGTCCAGGGTGCTCAACAGTCAAAGCTCAAAAGAGCGTGGGTGGGTGCGCATATGTGTGCATGCGCTTTTTGCTTTCCCAAAATTACGGGAAGGTTTGGTTGTTTCTCAGGGATAGTCTTATTGCTAGCATTAGTTTTCACTGTCACATTCTCCAAGTCGTGTGTGTCCAAAGGCTTCTCATGCAGCAATGATAAAATCAATAACTCAGATATTTCATAGTAAATGGGATGGCTGAGTAACCTAGCCCTAAAAAAAGAAAATCCCATAAAACACTTTCCTATGTTTTTTAGCACCTGCCTTTTATCTTGACTCCCAAGAGAACCTGGAACTGGCCTTCCATTGCTGTGAGTCTTCCCTGGGAAATTGCTGGTGGCTGTTCCCAAGATAAAGGACATTTTAAGAGGTAAGCACTACAAAGAGCAACCCCAAGGGCCCTTGGGGACAGGGGGAAGAAGTGACACATTTTTGTGTAACTAGACATACGTGACAATTTACAGCAGGATTGCATTACTGCTCTGAAAACACTTGGGGCCTAAGTTGGAGCAACGCTGGCCTGTGCATGCGAGGAAATAAAAAGAACTAGTAGCACAGCATACCTCTGATTGGGATTGCGGCTCTGAGTCTCAAGCAAGGCAGTGTTTGAGATGATGGAGGGAGGGAGGTGGGAGGCTGATGCAGGGAGAGGAAGGCAGTTTATAACACAAGGACTCTTGCTGTCCAAGTTACAATAGATTTATTTCCAAATGTGTTGTAGAATACCTGAAATCTGGGTAATGTGCAATTACCTTTCCATCTTAACATCACTTTGGATAGTTGTTGTTTTACATAATGACAAGGCTCCCATCTCTGAGACCATGAGTGTGCTGTTACCAAATCTGAAAGCTATGCACCAAGGTGGCAACTGTGTATTTTGGATAAAATGAGGGGCTTAAATGGTATCTGAACCTTGGGCTGAGCTTTCTGTACAAGGCTGGATTTCACCTATTTTAAAATAAAGCTGCTGTACTGTCTGACATTTAAAGAGAGTGAAGTGGGAATTATCTACACACCTAAAGCTGTAGATGTTCCAGCTTGTTTTGTTAGCTTGCTAATTGTAACAGAGGCTTCTGCCAAGCAAAGTCTCACCCACGAGTGGGCTTGTGCTCTAAACTGAGATGCCAACCAAGAACCCTGCAATTACAGGCAACATTCTGCACCAGGCACGTTAAATAGAGGTCTTATCACGGTCAAAGAGAGGCTGTGTGTGTTTTCTGCTGTCATTATACTGGTGAGTTCAGTGGAATTGGCATGGTAAAATATCCTAATACTGTACTTACAAGCCGCAAATTCACATGAAGCCGATGCTGGTAGCATTGATTAGACCTGGCCCTACTGCAGGCTGGTACTACAAATTTATCCTTTGCTAATCTCTAGCAGTGCCTTTAATTCCTACTTGCAATTTGAGTTGAGTTTTCCAGTGTATCAGTCCTGGCCCATAACCCATCTGCTGCCTGAGCCATGAGCTTTTCTTAGAAAAGAAAAGGCCAAGCAAGATGTATGAGTTCTGTTTTTTTGGGTAAGTGCACTGAAATCAAGACCAAAATCCTTGGCCAATGGCCATATATTTCTCCTTAAGACATGCTTCTCCAGCTTGTCATCTTTATTTGCACTTCTGCTCCTTGACAGCTTTGAGTAGATGCTTTTAATTTGTGAAGATCTTAGCCAAAAACCCTTCTGCAAAATCTGACTGCTTGGCTTGTTAAAGGATGTCACAAGAGAGAAACTCGGATAGTACAGTGTGCCTCTGCCTTTGGCACCCTTGATATTATTGTCTGCGTGCTGTAACTGTGATGGTCCACACAGTTGTCTTTTGCATCAGTTTCGTGGCATGTCTAGTGCATCAGTTTAGTGTTGTATAAACTTTCATATGATTTATATGAGGTCTTATCTCCAAGACATGGATACCAGCTATATATGTATTTGTGTCTGTAATAAATCTCTCCATGAAATTCCATTGACCCCAAAACGCAAACTGCAAACAGTGAGTTTGAATTGGTTAGAGGGGCTACAGTGTGTCAGATCTGCTTACTGCATCATGGGGCTTAAAGGCTTCTCTTATCCACGTCCACGTAGCTCGGTTTAGTTCAGGGTATTCTCTAGGTTGTAAATCCATGCACAGGAACACGAACCAAGAAGCATTGCTGAACTCGCATGAATAGTGCTGGGGGGTGGACTTTGGGTTGGCTTGCACAATAAGCGCAGTCAGCTGGCTTCTGGTACCCAGCAAATGGCACTGCACTGTAGTTACTGGCCAGAAGCAGGTTTTCCCCTTGCTAATCTTTGCATTCTTGGTCGTGTCCAGCATTTTCTTGAAGTCTAATTAAATGAAAAAGGTCTCGTTGAAGGTATATGAGCATCACCAGAAAGGAAAGTCCAAATGGTCCTTGACCTTTCAGTATTTTGTGCCACTCTTGACACCCATGTATACCCAGAGAAAATGAAGTCCTCTTGGCTAGTTGTTCTCTTCTACCCCTGTGGTAAACTGGGGACTCCTCTGACACCTTCAGGGGTATAGGTTGTAGCCGTGTTGGTCTAAGGACGTGGGCAGACAAGGTTCTTTGGGTAAATCTGATATCTTTTATTAGACCAACTCAAATAGCGGGAAAAATTCTTCTTTGCAAGCTTTCGGGTGTTTGTGGGTGTTTGTGCCCAAAAGCTTGCAAAGAAGAATTTTTCCCACTATTTGAGTTGGTCTAATAAAAGATATCAGATTTACCCAAAGAACGTTGTTTGCCTCTGACAGCTTTGCGCTTAAAGCTTATTTTATCCAGTCACCCCAAGCTGCAGTAACATTTCATGGTACTTGCTCTCTGATTTTTCCTAGGACATCTTGACCTCTGGTTTCCATTCTGCTTAGGCAGAAAAAGAAGCAGATTCTGCTAAAGTAAATCAGAAACATCGCATGTGATTACAGGGACAACATTATCCCTTTCCAGTACTCTGTATACTTATTGGCACAGCTGGTCTCCTGTCCAGTGCCAGTCCACCCTCTACATTGAGTGTTCAAGCCTAGAGAGATGAAGCTCACCGCATCCCCAAAACAGGGATGTGAGGCAGCCTGCCATACCTCTTATCTCTAGTGCATGGGCTGATGCAGTGGCATAGCTTCTCCACTGTACGTAGACTGATGCCTAGCATAGGCCCTGGCAGAGCAGACATGGTAGATAACAGCCTTGGTGCACTGTAGCAATCCTTGACAGCTGTGCCAGCCTCCTAGGAAGCTGACAGCCACCCTACGGAGGTCTGGTTTGTCTCTAAGCTGCTGCCAGACCCAAGGCACTGTAATAATGGAAGGTAAAGTCATATAGTGAGAGTTTTAAAAAATAAGGACAGAAGATAGGGGAAGTCTGCTTGCCATAGTGCTGTTCAGGGAGCTTCCACTCCACTGGTGATGGTTACTACAGCATTATTAAGAATGTGCTTAAGAAGAACGTGGTGATTAAGAAGGTGTAAAGGATCTAGTAGGAGGTGGTGAGGAGTTACCCTGTTTCTGGCCTGTCCCATGACTGATCTGGTGTGGGGCTGTGAAAGCAAATACAGTGAGCAGCAGCTGATACCTTTTCCCTGAAGCGTTGCAGTGTTTCATTCCTGTGTTGAGTCTTTTCTGAGTTAATAAATCCAATCTGTTAACTTGCAGCCCCTGCTGAATGCTTGCCTCAGTTTCTGCAGCTGATGTGAAAGTTTAATTTGGGAGATATGGGGTCCATGCTGCAGGCAGGGCATTCCAGGGGTTATTCACCCCAGGTACCCATTCAGCCCTGGACACTTGAAGGATATGCAGGCGATGGAAGTGGGTGATTGAGGGTAGCGGCATTTTGGGCTGAAGGCTGTAGAGCTCACTCGATGGCCTGTAGAGCTCACCCAGGCAGAGATGAGAGAGAGGGTAGTCCTGGAAAGAGATGTAGTGTTTGGGATATGGGCTTGAGTGTCTTTAGAAATGACTTCTCAGCCACAGTTGCCCATGAGGCAGCTTCTTCCTTCCTGCCACGTTCACGCTACTGAGCGATTTGGTTTTGCCCTCCTGTGGCATGCACTTGATGCAGAAGTTTCCTGTCCTTCCTTTTCAAAAGCATCCATTCACTGCTCATGTTTTTACTGTGCTTACTGCTGCATTCAGGTGTCATTCTATTGTATGCCAAGAAAAGGGCCTTCCTGCCCCCTTCTATGCCACCTCCTAGTTCAAAGGATGATTCACCTGTGCTCAGGGAGTTTTCCTCCCCTAGCTATTGCTGCAGGCAGCTAGGGATGCTGGGAAAGCAGTGGGGGAGCAGAGGATGCCTGAAAAAGAATCAGAGTGTCTGGGGAGGAGGACACTATGGGTTGGAAGTTTAAAACTGGATTTCTAGGTAGCCTGGCTGTGGTAGACTAAATGCCTTTCATCTCCTCAGCACTTCAAGTTGAAGGTCCGACTTTCTAATATTTTGCATTTGAGTGCCATGTTGACTTTTATTATAATTTGTAGTAAAAACTTTGTCTGTAAAGCATACCACTTACACCATAAGTAACAGACGTGTGGCATTTACCTTATCAACCAGACTTAATAAGAACTATAATTCGTGAATCTATTTTGATTGACATCAATTATATTACTCTTATTAATTGAATCCATTAATTATGTCAGTCTGAGAGACCTGTATATGATTATAAGTTGTCCTATTTCGACCTTTTTCTATATTTGTGCAACATTATCTTCTAGTCTGGTGTTCCAATAATCATTGAAAATATCAGAGTTAATGGTGCATGGTACTCTATGGACCATGTACATTTAAGACTCAAGTGCAGGTTGTATAGACTTTCTGATTTTTTTTTTAAATGCCTGGCATTATTAATTTGTTTCTAAGCCTTTCTGAGATGATGTTGAAATATGAAACTGTTCCACCATCATTATCATATGACTACAACATTGTCCCAAATATACCATAGAAACAAGTTGCAGCAAGGGTAGTTCAGGTTGGATATTAGTAGAAACTTTCTCACGAGGCGGGTAGCAAAACACTGGAACAGGTTACCAGAGAGGTGGGGGAGTCTCCATCCTTGGAGGTTTTGTAGACCCAGCTAGACAAAGCCTTGGCTGGGATGATGTAGTTGGGGCTGGTCCTGCTTGGAACAGGGGGTTGGACTAGATGTGGCGTCCTGAGGTCCCTTCCATCCTCATCTTCTATGATTTTATGATATACTGAACTCTTTTGCCTCGTCTACATTTTTTAGACTTCTACCATTTCCATGTAGTGATGGGCCATGACCAATATTAGGAAGAAAAAAAATTCCAAATAAGCTGCAGCTTGTAGATAAAGGCAGTAGCAGTAGATTTCTCTTTGAGTGCTTTTGTTTCACGTATCAGTTATCTTTATTTATAGCTTCTAATTTGCATTTGTTACTTTCCCTTTTTTTCCTCTAAAGAAGGTTTTAGGGGATACAAGTCCTGTTGTGGGGAGAGTCTACTTGGAGGAAAATGGTTCTGGTGAATATGGGATATGGGAGGGACCTGGCAAAACTGGCTGGAGGAAATGGAGAGGCTGAGAGCATAAATGTTGTCCAGCAATAGGGCAGGGCTTGGCAAGTGTGAAGGTGCAGAGGGTGTGGAGCGGGTGGCATATGCTTAGGCTTTGGCAAGAGCTTTAAGAGCAAAGCTGCTGCAGTCGTACTTTGGAGCTTGGACCTGAACCTGCCTGTGCAGCAAGGATTACCCTGAAGAAAAGGGCATCTCATCAGCACACAGAGAAACTATTAAATTGGTGATGCTACTCTTGTGCAAATCCAAAGCCCAAACCATGCAGATGCCCCACTGCAGCTGTTCTTGCCAACCAGAATCTACATAATTTAAGGCTGGAGATATGTTAATGAATTATCTATAGCTTAATTATGTAGATAAGAAGCCACGTAACCACTGGCTTCTAATTATTTCATGAAGGTCACTGTAAACATGAGACTTTCTGGGAACAATCCTTGTGTTTTGGAGTATTTTCAGCTAGCTCTCCTCATGCTTCATGTCCTCATCTCTGGTAGCATTCAGGCCTGGGCCTCGTGCCTCTTATTAGCAGGTTTTGTCTCATAGTGTGGATGTTTTCAGAGCTGCATAGTTGAAACTGCAATGGAAGGGAGAGCCCCTCTAATCTGACTTCTGAAGAGTATTGGTAGGCTTTATTCTGTATTATTGATAGCTTCTGCTTTTACCAGCTTGCATAGTGTTTGTGAAAACTTTAATGGAACGTGTTTTGACAGCAGCTTGCAGCTTGATCCCAATGTGCTGCGTAAGTCCTGAAAGTGAATGCACGTATCAAGGTAGTCAAATCCAGGGCCTCTGCAGTAAAAAAACCACCTCTCTCTGCATACTAAACTGCTTGAAAGGCAAAAAGTGCAAGACAAAACTGCATTGGCATGTTGATAACTTATTTAAAAAAAACACCTTTGGTAAGTGTTAACTCAGGATTGGAATAGGAGTGGTATTCTGCAGCTGTCTGCTGAATCTACCTAGCTTTGAAAAAAGGAGGGGAGAGGGTAGTCCAACAGGAGGGTGAACTCAAATTAACTGACTTTTTAAACTGAATGGTGAGTTGGGCTAGGGACAGACATTACACATAAACTGGTTTAAGTTATCAGAAACTGGTTTATACCTGTAACAGAACAGACATTCAGTGCATATAAATCAGTTTGAAAATGGCTGAAACTGGTTTGAGATAAACCTGGTTGAAAGTAGTATCAGACTTAACAGATTTGGGTCAAACCGGTCTATGCAATGTCTGTCCCAGACCTTGAAGATTAGGAGTAATAATCTTCAAATGTCCCCAAGTGACTTTTGAATTGGGACTTAGGCTCCTCCATCACTTACACACTTGTAAAAATATAATAGGCATTGTAGTGGTTATTATTTTAGCCCAAACATCTCACTCTTCTGGGACTGTTATGGTCAGAGCTTGGTTTTATGGATGTAAGCTGAACAAAACACTATTGCTTTTCTCCTCTGTCAGTATAATAATCTGAAAATCTGCAGCAGCTCTGTCTGTGTGGACTGCAAGCATTTGAAATCTGAATGGCCTGTATTCCTCAAAGTGAAAGTTGGGAGGTTACAATGTGAAGTTTCTCACTTTCTTCTCTTTTTCTGTCTTTTCTTTGAAGAACAGCACTTATTTAAAAGGAGGGGGATGGGATCGAAAGAGGAAAGGTTACTGGAGTCACAAATTGTACCTCTGCCCCTTTTTACCCAGAGCACTTACAGCAAAGCAAGGGCACCAGGCTTCCATACTCAAAGAAAGTTATGTACCAGGAGTCTATATTTATCTGCTTTTGAAATAGTTGTACCCCTCAAAGAGAGGGCTCTGCTGCTTTCCTTTTATGAGTTTCTAGCTGGTAAGAATTTGAAACATCTGTCTACCTTAGTAATTGTATAGATGTTGAACCATCTCTTTTCCAGAAGCAGGAACAGGAACTTGAATACTTTTCACCCTGAAATACTTGCCAGCTGAGATCCTGGGTGCAACTACTATGAAAAGTCCTCAATCACACCCCCTGGTCACCAACCACACTCTTCCTCTGATACAGAAAAATGATTATGCAAAATGTTCTCACACCACCACTCTGAAGAAAATAGGAGCTGCTATTGCATGAATACAGAAAAGCACATCAGGGTCTGCATTATGAAAGGAGAAAAAAGCATAGTCCATAATATGTACAATAAAGACAATGAACACTCTTCAAGGTCTTTGAGTAGGTGTGAGTGGCTTCCATTTCTCAGATGTGTTGTGTTCAATAGCTGGTTGTGCGTGACCTTCAGCTACACAATTCCAAAGCAGCACAATAGGAATGTACACGTGTATTAATCTGGACTGAATATGTAGCATAAAACCTCGCAGACCACTTCAAACCCTGTTCTGCATCCAGAAAATGAGGGCAAGGGAGCTGTAGTCACTCAGATTTTTTTTCCCCAGAGACAAAAGACCTGTTCCAAATATCATGAAGGGAACTCTGCCTGCACAGCTGAGATAATGAAAATGATCACCGGTTCTGCACAACACATTTTTGATGTCTCTTGTCTAGTTAAGAGTAAAGCTGGAGAGCCAGGGAGTAAATAACAGGTTTAACCATTCTCTTCAGCTACTGCTGTGCAGCTTGACTCCGTAACCAGTCGTCTGAAAATTTGTAACCCTTCTTCATGATGCTGTACCAAGCTACTGCATCCTCTCTTGCTTTCTTTAGTTGTCATTGTGCATACTAAAACCATACCCTTGTTGGAAGGAATTTAGCAAGTTGCTTGTAATGATACGTTGAGGGAGGGAGAGAGAGAGACTAAATCTATGTCCTTTTATGGCCATCTTCACCCAAGTATCAAAACACCTGTGTTGGAATTAGAAAGGATGAGTCTAGGCTCGCATGCCATTATGAGAACCTCCAGGCTTCCTATGATTTCCACCCACAATGCTAATCTCATACTTTTCCACCCTTCAACCTAACCTGCATCACTTTTGGCTAATCTTACTAAATTCAGTGCCTAGGTCCTTTATCACACTTCAGTATTTGCAGCATGGAGTGTTTTAAAAGAGTCCTTTGTAGGTATTCTCAGCTGCTCTCCTTTGCTTTGGTTCCTGCTTCATTTCTCTGAATTCCTTTGTGTTGGTGCCACCTGCCTTTGGTCCTTTTCATTAGTGTTGAAATACCAGCCACATCCTTCAGATACTTGGGACTTGCTTCCAACAGTTTTGCAATGTCATGTTGGTTAAACTTTAATTTCTTCAGTGCCACTTTCAGGTATCATGATTTCTCTACTGGACCTGGCCTTTCTTTTCTATTGCTGAGGCTGGAATAATAGTGTTTGTAGTTATTCACAGTTCCAGCTAACTGCACATCCACTTTTACAGCTGCATTCACTATTTCATGGGACCAACTAACTTTTGACTCACCTTTACTGTCCTGTTTCCTGCTCAACCTGTGCCGATGGAGAGGGTTCTGGCTTTCCTGTCCTGGTCTGCACTGCAGGTCATTTACCCTCCTCAGCTTGGGGAGAGTGTTGCTTTGGGGAGCACTGCTAGACCTCCTGCGTTGTGCCTGTAAGTGAACTGCAGTCTCTGTTGGGCCTTCTCTGTGGTGCTACACACGGTTCCTAAGACATGAGGCGATAGCCCTAGAAAAGGTGCTACTGCTGAGATGCTTCTTGAAAATGGATGTCGATCTAAATTAAAAACCAGCAATGAACAGATCGGCTACCGACCGTGCCCTCCTTTGAACATCCCAGACCGCCTTGTAGAGAACTAGCTAACAAAGGTAGGTGAATGTTATGCCCATAGGGAAACTGAGGCACCAAGCTGGGAAATTACTTTCCAAGGGTCTCCTAACAAGCTGCTGCCAGGTCAAAGAGTAGAAGCCCAAAGACTTGATATAAAAAGAGAGTGGGCATCTGCCTCATTTCACATATGAGCAGTATACATTATGGGGTAGATGAGGCAAATCATGAAGTAAAAATCTGAAACGTGCTTGCTTCATTGGAAGATGTGATGCGTGCACACAGGTCCCAGAGCTGCACGGCCTTAAATTTAAGTAGTTCTTGTTGGAAGGTGTTCTCTGCAAACTCCCTTTATACCTTGTTTTCAATCTGGTAAATCTATTTTCTTTCTCTTTAGTGATTCAGTTCCCCTGGAATTAGCTTTTGATGTGGCACTGTCTGTAAACTTAACTGTATTACTTTCATTTTTCAGTTCACACCAATAACTCAGGGAGGTCCCCAAGTGTTGCTGAAGCTGGATTTGCCACTCCTAGAATTGCTCCAGTCACACTGCACAGTTTTCTTTCACAGTGTTCCCTTGTTTTACTTGTCATAGTCATTTCAGAGACTTTTCCCGCAGCTGAAGCTAAACCACCTGGTTTTATAGATTTCATGGATGTTAGGGCTGGAAGGGACCTTGAAGATCATCAAGTCCAGCCCCCTGCCCAGGGGCAGAAAGTCAGCTGGGGTCAAAGGATCCCAGCAAGAGAAACATCCAAACACTTCTTGAATGAGTCCAGAGTAGGTGCTTGCACCACTTTTGGAGGGAGTCTATTCCAGGTCTCGGGGGCTTGGACAGTAAAGACATTTTTCCTTATGTCCAGCCTCAAACGGTCTTGGAGGAGTTTATGACGGTCGGTCCTTGTTTTTCCTTGGGGCGTTCTGATGCACACCCCTGATGTACTTATAAGCAGCCGCTAGGTCCTCCCTGAGCCTGTGCTTTTGCAGGCTGAAGAGTCCCATGGCTCTCAGCCTCTCTTCATAAGGCCTGTTTTCTTGCCCTCTGATCATGCGCGTGGCTCTCCTCTGGACTCTCTCAAGTTTCTCGACATCCTCCTTGAATTGCGGAGCCCAGAACTGGATGCAGCACTCCAGCTGCGGCCTCACCAAGGCCGAGTACAGCCCAGGATGCCAGTAGCCAACCAAGGCACACTGCTGGCTCATATCCAGCTTACTGTCCCCTGTCACCTCCAGGTCCTTTTCTGCAGAGCCAGTCAGCCCCAACCCGTCCCGGTGCATGGGATTGCTCCCTCCTAATAGTAGAGTTCAGTGAAACTTCGAGGAAGGTTCCAGGTAGACAGGAGCGAAGCCTTTACACAGCATCTGTTTAAGTTAGCCAACTTTCCTTCCAAGGCCGATGGGTAAGGGAGAGGAGGGTGACTGATTGGGGTCAGGCAGTATACATGATGTGGTGAAAGGGTGAAGAAGTGGTGAAGAGTGACTTGGCACTCAAAATGATTTCCAAATGGAGAGGACTGAATGTTCTAGAAATCATTTCTGTCTCTTCTGTAACCACCTGAATTGCAAAGGCACCTGCACAGCCATGACATTGCCTAGCAGACCATGTAAACACAAGCAGCTCCTGGGAAAGGCATCTGAGCTCTGGGAATTGGCCCCACGTCTCCTGCCTGGCTGCACAAAGCTGCGTTGCTAGGCCATCAGGTTAACCCCGTCTTTGTCCAGATTCTAAATACATTTCCCCAAAATTCAACATTTTTCTAGCTTTTTTTTGTTAGCTCATTGTCCGGCCCCCATCCTACCTTTTGAGTCTGCTCATTTTTCATTTTTGCTCTTTATTACTTTTCTTGTCTGGCATAAATCTCTAGATTCTCACATATTCAAATGTTTATATGCTTTCTGTATCTGCAGTTTAAATACAATATTTTCTGTTGCTTTTTTTGACATTGCAATATAAGATCAATGCCGTAAAGCTAAATATTAGTTTTGGTCTTTTAAACAAAATAATCAATCAAAGCATTGCAAATAAATGTGACTCTGTCACATTTAGTTTTTAGAAATGATAGGGTTGCATTGCAGACTTCAGTATGTTTGCCTAAGGAGGGTCTATACCTCTCTGAAGTACCATATGGGCCACGTTGCATTCTCTGTTACCATGTCAACCTTTTAACATTTTTAGTGAAAGGCACAGGATAGGGTTGTAAAATTCATTGATCTCATTTGTTACCCCTTCCTTTCTTCAGTAACTGCATCCCATTTCTTCCTGCCAAAACTTTGTCTTATCATTTACATTTTTGTATGTCCCACTCCTGTACTGTAATTCCCTTCTCTGCATTTGCAGCCTGTATCCCCGTCTCATGGAACAGAGGCAGCCTCTGGACTGGGAAAGGAAACTGGTACAGAGATAGCTTGAAAAAGGACTCTGTATGCATACAGCCAGTGGCCATCACCAACTCAAACAGTATTTGGTACCACTTGGAGATATGCTCCGAGCCCCCAAGGTCTGGAATAGGCTGTCATCAGAGGTGGTTCAAGCACCTACTTTGAATGCCTTCAAGAGAAATTTGGATGCTTATCGTGCTGGGATCCTTTGACCCCAGCTGACTTCCGGTCCCTGGGGCAGGGGGCTGGACTCGATGATCTTCCGAGGTCCCTTCCAGCCCTGATGTCTATGAAATCTATGCTGATTTAACAAAAATGCTATGAAAGTAGTTAGTTTAGTCTATTATCATGCCATCTGAACATCTTACAAACATATTAACACCCTCCCGTTAGGTAACCCTGCCTCAGCATTCCCATGTTAGTGATGACAGGCAAGTGTGGCCTTGTGCCACAGGTATGGGGCATAGAAGTGACTTTTCCAAGGTCATGTAGAGATTTGGAAGAGGAGGTGGTAGCTGAACATAGGTATCCTGAAATACTGACCCCATGCCCTAATCACTGAGCGATCTCATTAACAGTGCATGCCCACTGTTAATGCGGTAGAACGTGGCTGCGTTTCCTGATGTGCCCCTGGGGAGGCTGGGCAGGCCCTGTTCAGCATGCTTGAGGCAATAAAAATTCAAAAGGAGGGAGGACGGTGTACGGCAGGTTTCACAGATTCACAGAAGTTTAGGGCTGGAAGGGACCTTGTGAGGTCATCAGGTCCAGCCCCCCTGCTCTGGGCAGGAAAGACCACTGGGGTCAAATAACCCCAGCAAGGTGTGCGTTCAGTCTCCTTTTGAAGATCTCCAGGGTACGTGTCTGCACCACGCCTGCTGGGAATCTATTCCAGAGTCTGGTCACACGAACCACGAAGAAGTTTTTCCTTAATGCCACAACATTAATGGAACAGGAGCAAAATTAAGTGGACTAGAGATAATCCTGCCCTGGAGTGGCGTAACTTCACACTGAAAAATAAG